ACTACTGCGCTGAAGCTGGGTCTTGTGCCAATAGAACCGGCTGAAGCTGTTTTTTCCGAGCCTGTTTTCTCTTTCTTCTCCGCCGTTCTGGCTGCTGGTGCCCTACCGTTCTCTGTCGGCTCCTCCTTTGTTCACCTTTGCTAGTGCTTTCTCGGCTCAACTGAGGCTTTCTCTCATAGCCCTCGTTTTTCTAGCTCTGTCGCCAACGCAGTCTCCAGCTCGGCGATTCTCTTCAGCAGTTCACTCTGCGCAACCATCATTCTCGCCATTTCTCCTCGACCTCACATTTCTTACACTTCGCGTTATCTCCTCTGCAATCGCGTCTGCACTAGCATCCGTTTTAAACCCACCTCGCATCTCGAACATTTTACAGTTCTTTTAATCGTGTCTTTGTGACAACAGTTGTCTTTATCAATTGTTCCACTCAATATTTACAAAACATGGCGTATGACGAACCCTGCTCTAAGCAAAAAAAAAGGTCTAAGCTCTGCTACAAACATTCGCGTGTTCAGTGTACGTGCACTTCTACCACGGGGTGGCAGGAGAAACACACACACACACAAACACACACACACACACACACACACCCAATTAGGTAAATACCTAGTGACTGACATCAAAAAACTTACAGTGTAATAAGTGCTGTAAAGGTTTACACTGCTGCCTTATACTATAAAAGCTAGCTCCAAGTGTGCAAAACAACGTATCCTCACAGTAGATTGGGAGCGCTCCAAAAACACGTCCATCCACCGTGCCAGTCCGAACTGAATTCTCAGACGTATAAGATGCGCTCAGACGTGTAAACAATGAGCGCACCCCCACGCGGCTCCTCCTCAGAGGCTTGAGTGCGCTCCGTAGGCGCCGCTTGCCGCTCATCACACTTCCCTATTCTAGCCACTGCAGCCAGGACAAGTCAGTACATGTGCGCCAAGCTGCTTTGGAATTTGTGTGTTTCGTGGCGTGTGTCATGCTCAACTCGGTGTTCTTCGTGTCCATGTAAGCGTTGTTTTTTTCGGCGTACATGTGTTAATGCCCGATGTGAAGTTTGACGCGAATTGCAAGGATTGCAACGACTGCAAGTTCGTGCAACCTGGGTGGCCCGGTGTGGTGCTTTTAGGTGCCACAGAAACTATGGCAATGAGCCAAAAGTGCGCCTGCGTTCATTCCTAAAGGACGACACGCGGAAACAAGCGTGGCTTTGAGCTATCCCACGGAAAGATTTAACGCCAACAGTGCGATTGAAGGTGAAGAATTCTCACATTGCTTTATCAGGTGGGAATCATCGTTCTTAGCTGCAACATCCGTAATTATCGAGAAGGAACACTCTTTTTGTACATATCATTCTAATGATACCATCCAAAAAAGTAGTAAAAAGTGTAACTTTCTTTCATTGCAGAGCTTGAAACTCGCTTTAAATGTAGTTTTATTTTTTTTTTATTTTCTTGTGTCTCTTATTTTTTGAAGACGAATCGTTGGCGTAGTACTTGCGCGGTCCCTGGATAGCAAAATACAATGTGTCGAGTAAAAAAATTTTATTTGATTGCAGGGCTACGCGTATGACGGTGCTATTTTTTTAAGAATGACTTCGTGCTTATATCACAGTCAAATAATTTTGAAGAGACAACTATTCGCAGGTTATATCTACGCATAGCGTGTTTCATGTGTAGTGAGTTTATAACAGCCGCCTTTTTTTCGCACTGCAGATTCGTGAGCTGCACTTCTCAGGAGAAGGTTTTATAACGAACAAACTTAAAATGAACGAACAGGAAGTATATTAGAAGTAAAACGAGAGAAAAATTTGCTAAAGCACAGTATTGTACCTTGTATTTTTGCAAACTATTCAAAATACTTGTCCTCAACGCCTACACGTCGTGAATCGCCAACGGGAAAGATTGCAAGAAAGGAGAGCACGGCTTTTCCGGGGGCTATAGACACTTCACTTGACTCTAGAGAACTTGAGAAAAAAAGAAACAAGGTGTCTTCATATACGGACTTCAGGACCAAGCTGTCAGGAATCTGCAATAGTAAGTTTTGGACAGTACCTACCAGTAACGAGTGCGCAAGGTTTCTTGTCACATAAAACTATTCTTCTCTTCACGCTAAATGCTGATCGATTGTTCTCCCAGATCTCTCATTTTCTGTTGTTTTCAACGGAGTGCAACTACAATCACTTCCTTGTGGTAGCGCTGTGTCAAATGCTGTGCTTGGGGTAGCACTGTGACATGGTTCTGGTAACGGAGCTAGTTGTGCAGAAACTATTATTGGGAGAATACGCCAGATAGTTTCTCTCGTGCAGTAACCAACGCGATATCGTCGCTTCGCTGAAAATTTATTCGCTAAAATGACAGACCGACAATAATGCATGTAAAATAGCCACACCGCAAAACTATCTGGCGTTTAGTGGTTCGCACCGCAAACAGTGTTGTCTTGAACAACGTCTGCAGGCTGAAACATTACAGCATTCAGGACAATGCGCAGAAGAAGGCCGCAGCACAAAAGAAAAACACCGAAGAGAAAGTGATGTTTTAACGGAATAAACCTTGACTTGTGTCACATGGTTTCTTTTTACAAGAGTCAAACTACCTTCAGAATGCTTCACTTGTGCCCGAGAAAGCTTCTCAAATACATGAAATGGTATTTAGATTCCATCACAGACATTTAGAAACACCAGTAGAAGCGAGCGCGACGCTGCGGATTCTCGGAACGCAGCGCCCGCATGGGCCCACAGGTTTACGTCACGCCACCATCGAAAAAACCTTAGGAATCTAGGAGGTGTTGGCGGAGCACTTAAAATGGGAACATGCTCGATCTCAACGCCGACGTCACCAAGCAAGCCAAACTCTGCCGGGCGCGTGAGCTACGCCATGAAATCATGACTATAATTGCTGCCCTTTTCGCCAGCGCAGCTTAAACATGTCGCGCGGGGTCGCATCGCACGTACGTGCTACGACGGACTACATCTACTTGTGAAACAGCGCATGATGAAGAGGCAAAAAAAAAGAACCAAAAGGACAACATTGCCTTTAGTGCCTTATTTCTGTGCGCTGCTTCACATGCAAACATGAACTATCACCAACTCACCCAACTTTCATCGTTACTGAACTTGTAGTGAGCTCATCAAACACAAAAAAGTGGCAACTGTGACAATTCCTGTTTGTGCTATGTATACCTGCACGGGACGTTTCAAGCGACCTTCTTGAGTTTCAGCAGCGCAAGGCAAGTTTCAAGCTGCGACAGTCGATGCGTTCTTTCTGGGCCTCCTTTGCGCTTGAAAGGCCCGTTGCTAGCATCATGGTAGAATATCCTAGTTTGTTGCTATCGTGTGTTGCTCTCCCGCTTGAGGGAAAAGATGGACTTGTTTATTAAAGTGAACATGTGGCCGAGAAACGAAAATTCAAACCACCAGCAACACACACTGATGGCGGTGCACAGATCAAATTCTTATCGTCAGCGGAACCCGTCATAATTTATACAGTACCCCCCCCCCTCCCGTCGAACCTTCCAGCATTCAATATTTCACAATGCAAAAAAGAGACACAAAGAGTGCAGGGTGTGTCTTTTCCTTGTCATACCTCGTTCCGTGTGCTGTGAAAGATTGAATTAAGCTGCATTAACTAGCCCAACGCTGAACCTTGACGATGAACTACTTCCAGCGTTAATCGCTGGTGCTGGCGTAAACTCTCAAATAAACTTGTCCATTTGTGTCCTGTATGCAACCGTAGCAGGATGAACAAGTAACAATCACAACGCTTCTGAAACAGTTCAGCATAATCTGCACCAAACGTTGTTGGCCTGTTACACCTGGATATATCGAAATAAATATATTACCACTCGTGTCAATTACCTCGGTGCTTGCTCACCATGAAGTTAATCAACAAACCCTAATCAGCTTCTCATTTGGTCTCAGTCTGAGACTCAGTAATGAAGCGCAAATAGAGTGTCAGCTTTATTACACAGGTCACGCACCGTTCGGATGTTTTTCTTGGCGTGAATGAGTCCTCTGTAACTAAACGCTTCGATAAATCAGTTTTGTGTGGTCTAAGCAAGGTTGCAGAAAGAAGAAAGATTTTGTCATCGGTATATCACAAGTTTGCCGCGTACTAATTCTCTAAAAAAATAAGGTGTAGATTTAATACTGTTTTTGTGGCAGCCAGTACTATAAAAACGCATGTGCCGTTGTATAGAGAAAAATATTAGAGGGTGGATGCGAAGTGTACTGACATTTGTTTTTTGAAACACATTAACATAGTGAATTGATGCGCCAAGTGTGTAGTATATCAGGTTCTGTTCAAGTACGGCCGCTTCTAGGTGGTAATTAGGGTTTGCTGTGTTAACGAGATATTAATTGGCCATAAGAGGTTGCTGACCAAAGCCTCACGCGCTCCTCAGTGGATCAGTGGTTACTATGCTTGGTTGTTGACCCGGAGTTCACGTGTTCGATCACGGTCGCATTTAGATGAAGGCGCAACGGTGGATGCCTGTGTGCTAATGCTATTTAACGTGCACGGAAAGTACGGGTGACTCTAGCACTTCATTTCCACCACGGTCGGCATCCAACCCATGACTTAGAGGTCGGCAGCAGAGCACTATAACCACTGTTTCGACGAGGCGGTCAATGATACTCAACAATGAGCACAAAGTTTTTTTATCTCAAATGTCGCCTGACGGAGGACATGGCTTGGGGTATGCGCCTGGCACAATTTCTTCAATTGCTCGAAACCAACTTTCACAGCAATACCAAGACACAAAGAAGGCAATCATCTACCTAGTGTTGCCACCTGTCTGCGTTATCTGTGAAAATTTTCACTGAATTTTGATAGTTTCAGCAGCTTCATTTCCTCCAACATTTCGCAGAGGGAAATAACGCAACGTTGGTGTACGCTGGCATGAGTATATAGCAATCACGTTTACCAACGTTTACGGCTGCAGTTTATTGCAGGCATATATTCATGTTATAATCATTAGCGTAATTATTCCAAGTTCCTCTCACTCACTTTCAGTGCCTGTGGGCGGATTCGGTTGGCCTTGGCGGTGTCATGACATACGCTATTGGTATGGACGACTGGGAAGGAAAATGTGACAACAATACCAAGTTCCCAATACACAAAGCAATCTGGAAGACCATCGGCTGAGGAGCACTTCAGTGGTATTACTTAATACTTGTAGGTTCTGCCAGATGGCCAGTGTATGAATTACCATATGAATTAAGGTAAGGAGATAACGAAAAAGCCTGTCAGAGCAAGACCCGTTGTAAACGTTTGACGAGAGATACGCTGTTGATACTAAATAAAGACGGCATTCCTTGTTTTCTATTGTGTTATCTCACTGTCATTTTCCCAAGCGCATCTAATCTCGGTGCTGCTAATGAAACCACTGAACCATCTGGCACTTGTCACTTTGCCAAAAAGCATCGTTGTTTAGCATGTGAAGCTTTAGTGGATAGATGAATGGGTGCTATGAGTAGGTCTTTGACATGCTTGACACAATGCTTAGCTAATAAAAAACTATCTTAGTTTACGTCAGCCTAATAGCTTGACCATATTAATTAAATCTATGTTACTACAGGAAAAAGGGTAACAGCACACTTCTGGAGCTTAATTTGGGCGAGTTGGTTCAACGTGGTTGTATTGTATTAACAGCGCGTCAATGGTAGCAAGGGACAAGGTGGGCAAGAAAGAGCGCTGACTGTGTACTGAATTTATTGAAGGTGTAATCACCGCTTTTATACAGAATTTGGCTAGCCGCCATGATAGCGGCTTTTGCTCCTGTCCTATCACAGTTAAAAATTTTACACCCAGAAGGGTGTAAATGAGCTTGTCCCGTGGACGACACCCTAAGGGTGTTAATTCAGAACCTTCCAAAAAGGGTGCTTTTCCATGCACCCTTAAAATAGGGTGTACATGTAAAAAACTGTAGGGTGTTACAAAAACACCCTTAAGGAAGGGTGCCTTCGATGTCCATCACTTTTTTAGCACCCTCTGAGGAAATAAACACGTACAATCGTGTATGAACTTGTGCTGAATCTATATATACTTCACAGGATATGCATAATGCGCGTTACAGAAAACTAAGCCTTGCTGCCCTTGCATATTGCATTTATTTCATAGGCAAATAAAACTTTTAAACTTTTCTTCTGCCACACAATTTTTTACCAGATGTGTAACATGTTCACGTATACGTACACTACACATGCATCACCTAAAATCTTTATTATATTTTTTTAGTTTCACTTTATTGACAATTATTTGCAACATACAGTTACACTGGTTTTAGTTTAGTATACTGCTTCCAGTACATAGAGACTACAAATCAAATACAGGCTAATATATCCCTATAGTTCTTTCAAGTATCTACAATCCCAGTGGTTTCCAGTTTATTACTCCTTCATGTACACAATCGGTTAATAGGAATGAAATACAGGCAAACATATACTTATAATTCTTTCAAATATATACAATCACCATGATTTTACTATATACGCCTTCATGTACACAATCGTTCCCAAGAAGTGATGCACACAAAAATATATACAGATAGTGTTTTCAAATGTATACAATCACAGTGGTTTAAGCTTCGTATTCCTTGATGTATAACAATTGGTTATGAGAAATGATGTACATGCAAACATATACGCGTTTTCGCACATATAACTTTAGCGAATACTTAAAAAAGCAATACAATGATCAGAAACAGAATAAGCTAAAAACGAACACAAAACTGAGTCAGGACACACAAAAAACAAAAGATAAATATGGCTAATGACACAGCTGGGTGACTTTATGCCAAATGTCCCAGCCATTTGGGCAACCATCTCAAATGTATTCGAAAAACTCGTGCTGCATTGAAAATAGTGAACTTCTGGAATATTTAGGAGAGGAAAACTATTTGGTCACGTGGCTGCCTTCTGAACTTCCTGGAATGCCGTGTAGGAGTTTTATGTGAAAAATTTTATTTTAAAAGCACCGCTCCTTCTTTCTATACGAAACTCGGTCTACATGGTATACGTAACAAGAGCCTAATTTGGGCGAGTTGGTTCATCGTGGTTGTGTGCTAGTCACAGCGCGACAACTTCAGGAAGAGACAGAAAGGACAGGAAAGAGCACCGACTGTCTAGTGAATTTAATGAATGTGCTACGAGCGCTCTTATACGGAGTACAGTTACCGTGTTCATGCGCGACGACACGTGTGAGCACTGCAAAATAATCTTAACTGTGAAAAGAATACTCCCTCTCAGGAAAGGATAAGTGAATGTGTAGTGATGCACTGATCATTGGTTTACCTGATAAAAAATACTTCTACAAATGTTGAATTGGCATTAAGTAAACCTATTCTCGTGATGAATGGTGCAAGATTGACTATTCCTGTTGTTGTTTAGTACACACGCTTTTGAAAGCTTGAAGGGGGTGGAAAACAACACGTTAATATAATATCTGCTGGCTATTTTTTTAATTGTGGGACACGTGATGTGGTATAACATGCAAAGGTTTTGGTCATTGTTTTTTGTTGGTCCTGTCTGTTTTAACTTTACTTTCTGCAGGAGGGTTTTGCAAATGGGTGTGATGATTCTGTTAGAATGTCCAGCATTTTTAGTCTTTTAATCTGGTTTTTAAGCCTGACCTCATCCTTGTGCTAACATGACTTCTGAAGGGTGGCCTGAATACATGTGGTATCAATTCCTCTTTCAACTAATTTTGAATGCCCACTATCAAAAGGCAGAACATTCTTAGCACTCCTGGGCTGATAGCACCAGCCAATACCCCAACAGCATCATCACACTTGTTTGCGAAACCCTCCAGCAGAAAGTAAAGTTAAAGGAAACAGGACCAAAAGAAAAAGAGAATAACCAATGACCTTTGCATGTTACACGGTACTACGTACATAAAGTGTCTCACAATTTACGAAAAGAGCCAGCAGATATGACATTGTTGTTTTCCACCCTTTGCAAGCTTTCAAAAGTGCATGTACTTACAGCAACAGGAACAGTCAATCTTGCACCATTCGTCACTAAAATAGGTTTACTGAATGCCAATTTAATGTGTATGAGATACCGCTAACATGTGGAAAAGTAAACATAGGACAAATTGGGCAATGCTTCAATGATCAAGCAAGACAGCATCCTTTAAATGTTAAGATGTTAAGAAGGATTATAGTAGTCTCATTGCCGGACACCGTGAAGAATGTGAGTGTAGTCCTAGGTTTCATGAAAATTCAGTTGACAGCGCTCTTTCCTGCCCTTTTTGCGATAAGATTTTTATTATAGAAAGAATTTCATTTTCTTAAAATTTATGTATAATGATGAGTTTTCATTGTATCACAACATGGAGCAAACTGCATCTCAACACGGACAAAAATCACGATTTTGTGAAATTCGTGATATTTTCTCGTATAATTTAGCAGCTTCAAAGGTCTAAAGATATTTTTTCCTCAAAATATACCTTCTGTAAAGTAAGTATTCATTGATCAGATATTCATAAAAAGTGCAATATTGCAATCAAAATGCAAACATAACACATTTTGGCTTTGATCTTGGAAGCGAATGTGGGCGAAAAAATTGCACTAATATTGTTGAGCTTCAAATACCTTACAGAAGCACATTTACTTAACAGGGAGACCGAATTTGCTTTAGAAAAAATGAGCAGTAGTTTTAAAACGAAATTTTCCACAAACAGCACACAGACGGCATTATGCCAGGAAGTTATAAGCCAGCCACATGAACAAAGCTTTTTTTTCTCGCTGAAATATTCTAGCAGTTCACTGTTTTCAACGCAGTAAGTCAGCACATTTTTTTTTTCAAATACATTTCGGATGGTCGCCAAAGTGGCTGGGACGTTTGGCATGGAATCGTCCAGCTATATTTAAGCAAAATAACTTACACAAATAACAATATTTGTTCATCTACCATGACCACACTAGAAAAAGTTGTTCAGGCATTGTGACACTAATATTCTCAGCGTTGTACTGCCTGAACAACTTCTTTGATAAAATCCAAAGTCACGCCGAGAAAAAGCCGCTCAATCACGATGGTTGTTAAAGGCCTTGCGGCCGTAGACAATGTTGAAAAGAAAAAAAAATCAACTCATCAGTGCTGTCACTACTTCTTCGTCATTACTGACACGGAAGATTTTTCGGTCATCTACGTGGAGGTTAAGGTACTAGGCTTGCTCTAGGCTGGGGCCGGGGTAGACTACGCAGGACGTCAGGGGCACCCTCCTGATGTCCTGCGTCAACAGAGCAAATATAACTTTCTCATAAAAGAATGTTCGTGCTGTTCCCGCAGCACCATATATGAAGAATGTGTATATCCTTTGAAATGGCGTGTGATTGAAATTACACTGAACTCGAAGCATACAACCCATACATTCCAATAATTTTGTATGATAAAGCTAAGATAGTTTTCCAGCATACAGCAAATTCCCGAAATGAGGTGAACTGTAAGACTACAGCTCAAAAATGGCACTTACGAAAACCTGAACTCACCTAAGAATCAAATTTCTTATAGGGTAATGAGCCAGTGTGAAAAACAATTCTTAAAGCACAACATTCAGAACATGTAGCAATAATCAAAACGCACAAGAAACTTACCCCATCATGTACAAACAGTGAAGGCATCTCTGCTTTCCCTTTTACATGAGAACAAATGATCTTGGGCGTGGCACTAGCGAAGAGTTCTGGAAAAAAAGGTAAAAGATTTACTTACTTTAATCACGCCTCTAACAATCTGAGGAATTTGGACAATTCAGCAATGAGTGCAATTCTGACTGCCTCTATAAGGGCATCAAAAATGAACAATTTTCTCGTTCTTTCTACCCTCACAAGAAGCTCCGTCAATGGCATCCAATCCAAATTTACGCAGTGCTTGCTATTTGCCTGCTTTCTAGACGTAGGGCTGCGAACGTGTATTTTGTGCACCTAATCTAGCACACAAATTCGTCATCTATAATTCAATCATCTTAATTCATTGTAATTTGATAAAAAATGTGACAGCTTGTCCAGTTTTTAAAGAGTTGCGGGCCTGCAATAGGCACTTCCTAGCACGTATGAAAGTATTTCTTTTTTAAAAAAATTTTCAAAGCTTGCTTTCAAAAAAAGCGTCTGGCATATTTCGACAACAAAGCCCATCCTCTGATGGCAATCAGGGGCACGCTATTAGTGATTATTGACTACGGGATTTACAAACGTAACCCGTTCCTAAATACTCAGTTGAACACAATCAAGCAAGTAAAAGCGCTCGAACGACGCCAACGCGCGCGGACGCCGACTACGTTGCAGCAGCCATGGCTTATGCTAGAGCTACCGCACATAGCTCCCTCAG